GGGTTGGTATGAGAATCTTCCATCTGTCCACCTGGTCTTCCTACAGAACAGAGCTGGCTGCCTTGACTTTCTGCAAATCTAATCCAATTGTATAACTGCTCTGCTCAAAAGCCTTCAAGACTTCCTACTGCTTCTGAAATAAGCCAAGGTGTCCCAACTTGCAAGGCTCTCCCTGGCATTCAAGGCTCAACCCCTCTCTCCAGCCTCATTGCCCACTATCCTATACACAGTCTACAATCCAGCACAGGTGTACTGGTCCCAGGTCCTGGAACAGGCTCTGTGCTTTCCATTCTTAGTGCCTTTGCCCACTCAACATTTCCTTCCCAAGATTCAAAGCCTGGTTCATTCTTTCAGGTAGACACTGAATACGAAGGGCTGCCAGTGTCTACTCCTCTTAACAAGAATAGGAAGGGCGCACTTGAGTCTAGGCATTAGAAATGTAGAAATAAGGAAAATTTTTATGTTCTCAAGGAGCGCACCATTGAAGAAGGCAAGAAACCCATGGGACGAGGACCGGTAACACCACCAGCACCTTCTGGAGGCCTCCCAATGCTTTGAACTCCTCAGCCCTGTCTGTCAGTCTGTCTCAGGACGCCTTATCTTATTCCACCTAATACCAGAATGTGTGTCTGGTGGGTTTATCTACTCCACCGGTTTGGGAGCTGAGGGCCAGAGGAATGCTTGAGCTATCTTCGTGTTCCCACCACCCAGCACAAGGGCTCACAAGGACACAATAGACCTCAGTGAACGACTGTTTTATTATTGTAAACCAGCGGTCCCCAACTTTTTGGCACCAGGAACCCGTGCTCCTATGAGAATCTAATGCCTGATGATCTAAGGTGGAGCTGAGGTGCTGATGCTAGTGCTGGGGAGCGGCTACAAATACAGATAAGCTTCGCTTTCTCACCAGCCACTCACATCCTGCTGTTCCTAACAGGACCAGTACTGGTCCATGGCCCCGCCTGAGAAATGAGGACCTCTGTCATAAACCAAAAGGGCAAGAGGCCCAGAGCCTTTCAAGGGAGTCCACACCTGGTAAATGAACATCTGGGATCCCTGAAGGGCATCAGGACTGACACTCCCAGCTACCACATTCCCAAGCCTAATAATATTGAATCTTATGAACTCAATATTACTATTTCATCCTCCAGACAAGGAAACTGGGACAAAGTTTAAGTGACTGACAGACTGACAGAAGTTAGTTGCTTCTAACCCATTTTATCTCCTTTTTACTTAAAAATACTGCATAGGTACTGTAAAACATTCTCACCCAACAATGAAGTCTCTTATCTCCCAAACACCACTCCCTCTCCAGAGGACATAAAGATTATTGTGTAGATCTTTCTGGAATTCAGTCTGTATTTTTGCCCATTTACTTTACTTTCAATTTTTTGTTTCAATATATTGACCTCCTCTTTTTCTTTTTTTAACTACTGCATTTAGGAATGTACTATAACATATTCAATCTTCAATCATTTCCCCTTTGATGGACATTCAAATGCCTTCCTGATTTTCTCATGCTGCATGCTATTCTGGATTGAATTATTCCAGTTGGATTTTCAAAGCTAATGGATTGGGGTGTGCATGACAAAAAGAACCCTGGAAGTTTCTTTGTGGTCTTCTGACTTTGTTCTGGTCCCCCTTCATCCATTCATCGTTTATGAAGACTCTGGTTGCACACTGAAGGCATAGTACTCCATCGAGATATAAATGGAGGGAGCTGGGATGTGAAATAGATAATATATCTCCTTAGGTAACATATTCCGTCTTTGATTAAGTGTAACACTGAGCAGTTTCTCTAAAGATACCCACATACATCATCTATTTTGATTGTTACAAAGTTCCTGCTGGCTATTATATTCATTTTACAGATGGTGAAACGGACTGTTAGGTCCACTGACTACCACAGCTAGTACAACAAAATGCTCGGTGTCTTGACTCCTAGTGTCATGACCTTTCTAAGGTTATCTTGCTGCCTCACTATTCAGAGGGCAGGGTATACCTAGATGGCTACATTGACATGAGTTACAGAGTCTCACTATGAAAAGAGGCAACGGCGGAGTAGTGCTTCTCAGTAGCCCTAGTGACTGTCTTCTCAGCCACCTGGAAACTTCTTCAGTGCACCCTTAAGGTTTTTGTTCCTCAGGTTGTAGATGAGAGAGTAGAGTATGGGTGTAATTATAAGAGGATAAGGGAAGTAGCTGTTCTTAGGCTAGATTTAGGTGACTGTCCTAAAAAGTAGTCTACTACCATGACATGGGAATTTCAGGTTCCAAAGCCTTTGCTTCTCTGTGGCTTTACATATCCTTGGCTAGCTTTGCCAATATAGCCACAGTTGACAAGGACTTAGCCCATGGAGACTAAGAAGATGACTGTGGCCACCAAAACCTTGCACTTTTTGAAAATGGCCAGGTTATGCTGCAGAAACACACAGCACCAGTGTCTCAGTGGTTAAACACAAAAGTTTATATCTTGTTCCCGCGAAGTCCATTATAAATCGGGGGACTCTCCAGAACAGCTGTCCCGCTATGTGGGAACTCAGCATTGCAGACTGGTTTGATCTCATGGTTCCTTCCTCTGTATATGCCTCCATGATCGAGGAAGGAAAAGACAGCACTAGAGAGTCTTGCACCAACAAATAAATGCTTCAGCCAAGAATTGAGGTTCTACTCACAACCCAATGAGCAAAATGATCTCATGACCCTAACTGCAAGGAGTAGAAAAGCATAACTATTCTTTTTACTGTTCACTAGAATACAAGCTCCTTGATGGTATGCATTTTTTCTTTTGTTCATTACTACATCCTCAGTCTAGAACAGTGCCTGGGCACATAATAGGCTCTCATTAAATGAATGTAGGGCCAGCAAGAAAACTGCACATATCTTGGGAGGGAAGACAAGAGTCCCAAGGTTCTAAGGCTGAGGGTGTTGGTTAAGAGCTATGCAGACTAAAGATTCAGAGGTGGCCCTGATTAAGAAATAATATTTGGTATAGCTTATTTTGAGCAAGAAAATAAGACACCACTGAGAGAGCCAGACCAACTGCCTAGGTGACTTATAAAGCACTGGACAAAATCAAGTCAGCATAACCACCACCAGTGCTGAGCTCCTCAAAGGACCTGCAAGAGCCACAAATGCATCTGCTTCTTTAAGGTAGTCAGTCCTTTCCACATTATCTGGGGGTATGGAAAAGGGAAAGAAATACACTTTGAGTATCTACTTGTGGCTAAGCTGGTACTTTTCTTTTATGAATCCCTGTGATTCTCAGATCAACTCTGAGGTGTTTTCTCCATTTCACAGAGAAAACGGAGACTTAAGAGTGCTTCAATAACTAGTCAAAAAGCAGGAATGTCATAGGCTATAGATACAATACGATGTCATCCAGGCTGGCTCTGTAGGAATAACACACAAATCAGTCCTGCTAAGCCTGACTTCAGGCCTGTCTAATGAAGCTAAGTCACAGCCAACAGACCCACTAGATATGGGGTCTTGAAAAAGTCTCTGTATCTCTTTGAGACTTAACTTCCTTGTTTATAAAATAAGAGATTTAGAAGAGATCATTTAACTCCTTTTCTGATACTACCTAAAAGCTCTGACAGGAATACATGAGTCACTGTTGTAAATAAAGTGAGTTATTAGAAAATCCACAGCCTATAGAAATTTTCAGCAGTCTATCAAACTTGTCACCTAAATGGTATACTGAAGAAAACAGTCACTGGTAGATCCTGCCAGCTTTACAGTTTACAGTGTAAAACAACCAACATAGATGTGGATTTGTCAAATTTTGCCCACCATTCGGCATCTGTTCCAAAACCTTTATTTTTTGGAAACTTGGTTTCTAGTTGACTGAATTTTAAGGTCACCATGCCCAGTGAACCACAGAATCCTGCCTGTAGCACAAGCTCCAATTCTCAAACACAACTCTCTCCATGGTCTTAATAACGGCAAATAACAAAACCCAAATTAATAAGCAAAGAACAAAACAAAAAAAACATGAGTTGATCCTAAACTCTCATTAATTTTGGGGGGTGGGGGAGCTCAGGAAAGTACTAATTTTTATAGCTGTTTTATCCTATTGACATTGTAAGGAAAGGAAACAGAGGAAACTTATTGCGGTAAAGTCATCTTTATATCCAATATATATTCCATGGCTAAAACTTCCAACTCGCTTCCATATGATTTCATTAGAAATGTCTTCCCTTTTTCAAACACCACCAACGAGAGGTATAAGATAGTACATTATTAGTTATCTAGATTCCTTAGTGGTGAAGTAAATATGGTTTCATCATAGTAAAAACTGTGCTAATATGATTCAAGAGGTGAAGCTGCTAAAAAGTTCAAGATGGAACTCACATGACGTCCAAGGACAAGAGAATGAAAGAAAATTCAATTTGGTTCTTGGAAAACTTTACATCTGAATTCATTTCTGCCCCCAAGAGACTACTGATGTTGCTAAGCCTAACTTGAAGACAATGGTATGAAATATATTATTACTTTTGTAATGAAAGAACATGCTACAAATGGTTTTATCATGTATTTAACAGGAGGTGAAGAAATCAATGCAAGATCAACAATATTTACCTCTGTGACTATAGAAGACTGATTGATTCATGGCTGCATTTGTTATTTGAAGCCAAATTGGCTATTTGGCCAGGTACAATTCCAAAATAGTTTTTCCATTATTTAGAATGGTCTTAGAATATCTCTCTTGCTAAGGACTTCCCTGAAGGTTTTAAATAAAAATTGTAGTAAAACTTTAGTGCATCCCCTGCAGAATCTACCTTGATTCCTTTCTGCGATATATGATGTTTCTATCTCCAAATTTTCCACTGATGAAAATTCTTCATGCTTCATAATTTTGTATTTTTTCATCAACTTTAGGGTCAAACTCCACTTGGTGAATTTGTTCAGATTGAGGACACTGGATAAGCCTCCTTTCACAAGCTGAGTTTCTGGTGTCTAAGGTTTGACTCCCTGCTTAAGTTTATCCTGCATTATCTACAGGTGGGTTTTCTGGTGTTTAATAAGGTGGGAGTTCTGACTGAATTTTTTTCCACATTCATAACATGTAAAGGGCTTTTCTCCAGTGTGAGTTCTTTGATGTGTATGAAGATTTGAAGTCTGACCAAAGCTTTTCCCACACCATGAGCATGTATATGGTTTTATTCCTTGGTGTGTTGTTAAATGCTTATTAAGATCTGAACTCCATCTAAACCTCTTATCACACTGTGGACATTTATATGGTTTCTCTTCAGTGTGAATCCTTTGGTGCTTTATGAGGTCAGAGCTAACTCGGAAGCTTTTCCCACATTCCTGGCATTTAAAAGGCTTCTCTCCTGCACGTTCTTTCTTGTGACGATCCACAAGTTTCAGCAGCTCTTGTCTCCAGGTTACAAGTTTCTCTCTTTTATTCACTGGCAAATCTTGGTGCCATTTCCCCATCTTGTGCACCTCAACATAATTCTCTTTGCCTGTTGTTTTCTGGAGAACATTCACTCTGGCTATTTTTGATATTAAGTCTCCTGGTGCTTGAATTTCTAAACCAGAAAGGCATATCGACTGATGATTTTCAGTGTCATTTTTCAGCTTTAGCCCTGTTGGAATAAACATAAAAATCAACCAACTGTGTGGCAGAGCAAGAAAATCACAGGAATGGAGAGAAAAATTCAAAGATCACTGATTTTTAAAATATAGATAAATAGAATCTTAAAATGTTAAGCCCTTAAAAAGGTTCCTATCAAGGCACATTTCTCCTCCTCCCATGGAGTATTTACCCATAGACAGTGCTCCAGGACTGTCCTTGAAATTCGGGGATCCTTGAACGCATGGCTCTTCCCCTTGCTCTAGACAGGAGATCACTTTAGGTTTGGGAAGCACAAATATAGCTGTGAAATGAAAAAACTCAGGTCAAAGACAGGCAACTTAACAATGATTCACTAATTCTAGCCTATTTCAGTAAAAACAAAGAACACTTTTACAGTTTGTTACCACAAATAGTTAAATGATAAATGATGCATCAGGTTCACGCTATACTGCATTTGTAAGTGGAGATGCAAAGTGGAGAATGAGAAATAAGCCTAGCTTGACTGATGTAAAGGACAGAGGGCGTGGGAACCATGTGCATGTTCTCTCTCTTCAGCCACCAAGAATACCCCATATTTGACCAAGGTGGAACCAAACTCTAGAGGCTGCATGGAATATAGGTTGGTCCTATTAAATCTTTAGGACTCTGAATAAGACCAGGTCTAGCAGGGCCAATGGTCAGTGGGTTGAGTATCATGTACACAAGTGATTCCTATCATAATTACAGCAACTTTTTATTTATCACTAGAGAACCAGACACTAGGCTTGTAAGAATTTCTACCACTCCTATAGCTCACTGGTTTACATCCTTTTGGATGAAACAGACCAGAATCACTTAGTGGACTTTTCCTAAATACAAACTGCCAAGTATGTATGGGAAATATTCAGCATTCAGTCTTTCAACAAATATGTACTGAGTGGCTACGGCATGCCAGGCACTCTCTGTGAACTAGGTATACAGTGAGGAACAAGCCAAAGTCCCCTGATATCACAGAACTTATCTTTAACTGGGACAGTGAGACAATCAAACATCAATAAACAAATAAAATCGCAGTGACGTTTTTAAAAAAAAAACTAGAGCAAGATAAGAGAGAATTTAAGACTCTGCTTCTGTGAAGCTGTGTGAGAAAAAGGTATATGGAAGGCAGCTTTGAGGAAGTGATATTTGAGTAGACCTAAAGGTAAAGAGTTTTGACATGTGGCAGAAAAATTTGCCAGGTAGAGGGAAGGGGAAGGTAGAAATGTGCATAGCAAGTTGAAGAAACAGCAGACCAGTGTGGATGAGAAGGGCTGAACGAGGGCACGAGTGGCAGGAGATGAAGGTAAGTAGGTAAAGAGAGGCCATGTCTTGGAAGGTCTTTGGTAAGGAGAAGTTTGGATTTTATTCTGAATGTGATGAGATGTCATCATAAGGTTTTAAATTAGACAAATGTCACTATCTGATCAGGTTTTAAAAGACTGTGGCTGCTGCATGATAAACAGACTGTGTAAGGTCTAGAGTGGTGGTAAGAGGCACCAGTTAGGAAAAAACTGAGGTGGATTTGGTTTGAGATGCCACTGGCTTAGACTATGAGGCTAAGAGGGCAAGAGGTAATAAATAGCTGGACTCAGGCCATTGAAGATGAAGTCAAGAGGACTAGTAATGCATTAGTATTAGGATATCATGGCCAAATCAGAGTAAAGGATGATGTATTTTTCTTGGACATGAGTAAATGGAAGTACCCTTTATGAGTCAAGAAGCATATGAAAACAGGAAGTTTGTTGGGGAAGAGAAAAAAGAGATCAAGAATTCTATGTAGGATAAAAAATGTGTACTTGGAAAAAGCTCTCAAGTGATCTACATTGACCTTACCCCAGCCTGCACCATTCTAGTCATGAACCAAACAGCTACGAACACAGACACTCTCACAGGGGTGCATTCCAAGTAAGACAAGAACGTGACTGATAACTTTTAAGTAAAGGCAAGGGGAGAATCTTTACCTAGAGAGATGACAGTCTCATAGTTTTCCTGCATTACATCATTGTAGAGGGCCCTCTGACTGGGATCCAGTAACTCCCATTCTTCCTGGGAAAAATACACAGCCACTTCTTCAAATGCCAATAAGCTCTAAAAAAGAGAATGGACTTTAGCTCAGCACTTGCCACTCCAGATGCAGCCCTACCATCTGACCTATGACCTGCATGGTAGGCCAGGCACTGAAGGAATGAACAGCACATGATTTTTGAAAAAGTGAGAAAGGAGAAAGGAGGTAAGCAAACAGCCTGGGAGGTGTCCAGTACCCCAGGGAGAATCTCTGGGCTAACATGCCTCTGAGCACCTGCTGGGCAGTGTGGTTCATGGGCAGCAGGGAAAGGCAGCGCTAAACAGCTCGAAAGCTCAGCTCACCTGAGACTCAGGCAAGATGAGCTCAGGTGCCATTGTCCAGTCTTTGGTGTTTGTCTGCTCAGGAAAGGCTAGGATCTGGTGAGCAGGCCCGGCTGTAGGTGGAAAAGAGCCATAGGAAATTTCTCCTCCTTCTGTAAACATCCTGAGCTCATTTCAAAAATATAGAAGATCCTGATACTTAGACACGAGAAACCTTTACAAAGGTGTGTGGTGCCAGGAAGTGGCCTTTTCACTATTAATAAAAACCAAGTATCTACCAGCCTTACAATGGCTTTCCCAGCTTTCATGAGTAAAATTTTAAAAAACCCTTTTTATTATCCTCTCATGACATAAATTGTTCTGAGTAAGGTAAAACAAATGTTTTAAAAATAAAGTACTCAGCCCCTTCTCATTATCTTTCCTAGCTTCTCTTAGCCTCTTCTCAGTGCCTTTATTGTCTCTCACTGTCCTCGTCTCTATTCCCACTGTGCCTCTGCCTTTACTCTGTCTCTCACTCTCTGCCTCTGAGAGGAGACCATACTCTGTGGAGTGTTATCCCTTTTCTAATAAACTTTCCTTTTGACTCAAAAAAAAAAGAAAGTACTCAGGACTCCAGTATACAGTAGATGTTGTTTTTTATCATTTGTTATTTTTTTCCTGCTGTATAGACTCTGTTCACAGTCTGCCAATTGTGTTCACATTCTGCCACTGACAGCAAATTTCTGACCCCAATTCCTTCCATATTTTATAAGGATGAGGTCCCTCACTCTTCTCACTTTTCTAAGGAAGATTTCATAATGTAATTACCATGGCACTGTGGTTTGGGTATTTCTGTACCTTAGGCCAACCCCTACTTTCACCCATAGCTGGTCTATTCTAACACTACTTTCAGGGGGGCAGGCGTATCATAATTGCTAACATGGCTGTATTTGCAGATCCACAAAGCTGGGCCTCCAGAAAAAGCATACAATGTTCTGTCTGAACAAACTATGGTCACAGATCTCAGCAGAAAGAAATTACGATGAAGCTCCTTACCCCTCTCACACACAGGCTCAGTCTCTTTATGAGTTTTTCTGCTCAGCTGTTCTTGTACACCCTGGTATGTATTCCAAAATTCTTCATCCTGGGACATGCCCACTGGCTGGGGCTCTGCTGGCTTCAGCTTGAAGCCTCGGGCCTCTGCTGTTTCTCCCAAGAGCACTGCTTCCTTTCCCAGCTCATGGGCTGCGGCCTAGAAATAATTTCCATCCTTGTTACCAAAGAACTTACTTTAGTTTTGGGGGTTGGTGGTAGATGAAAAAAAAATTATAGAGCCCAGATTGTGGGAAGTGTGAGACACTAAAGGAAATGACAGAAAGACTTAAAGATATTGGGCCACCAATTTTCCATAAAGAACTATCCATAAAATCTAGAACATTTAGGGTAAAAGCAAAAAAAGGTGTGGCTACTACCAGCCCTCCAATACAGACCCCAGATCGGACCACGAGTAGGGCTGCGTAGGCCACTTGCTCTCACGCTGCCTTGACAGCCTTTCTCCTTTCACTTAGATCCCTGCTGCAGTGGTTTCCTCTATTTTTCTCAAAAAATTAAGAAATTGACTAAAAAACACTCTCTTGACAACCACATTTTCCCAAAGGCCAGGAATGATTTTCAGAGAGTGAGGATGAAATGGAAAAGAAAAGGAGAGTAGAGTCTGGCTTCAACCTCCCTCCAAATGATCTCAGCATCAAACATATGCCCTGTATTCTTCACAGGCATGAAGCCAAGTGATGTGCTGCCACATGCCCAATGGCATACCCTGATTCTTACTCACCAGAAGAGCCAAGGACCAACCACTGAGAGTGGGCAGTGGAGACTCTTGTCTATGGTATGAAGGACACTATCTCTCAGCATCTTTCTTCTCTCAGCCACCTGTTGGGATTTCCAAATCTTTGTTTCTCTTTTTTCTTTCTCCGCTTTCTTCCTCTGCAATCTTCCCATGCTGTCTGGTTTCTCTTTTTACTATCCTCTCCTTTGGTTTCTACATGTTCTCACTTAAATGAATCTGCCCCTCTCTCTCCAACTCCTTGTTGCTCTTTATTTGTTTCTAAAAACTAAGACCCATCTCCTAGGCCAAGCCAGATTAGGCATATTACCTTCAATACACTCGGGTTCCAAAGAGGCCAAAAAGCAACCTTTTCTCTAAGGCCAGGAAAACCTCTGCCAGAATCACCTAAACTTTGGAATAACTATTGCTTCGGATCTGTGGTTTCAGGTCCTGCCTTAGATAGCTTTAATGAACAACAGATCATTGACCCATTTTACCTTATTTCTCAATTAACTGCCTCCAACCCCAATATATATCTACCTTTATACTATTTCATTGTTTATAACAGGAATCTTTCTTCCCACCCCATTCCTTATTTGACCAGATTCACTCTACAAGTGGTCTACCAGGGCCATAGCCTCCTCTACAGATGGTGTTTCTTTAACTGGGTCTGGGCATACCCAGGCAGTATGGTCAGGAACAGCTCAAGCACCAGCAATTCTAAGATATGCTCTTGTCAGTAGGCATCTAGTCTCAGCCACTGACAGTGTAATTATTGAAGTTAGCCAATAGCCTCACAGAGTCCACCCACCTACTTCGTAATGGTGGAAGCTTCAGAAGTGCTAGCAAGACTCTTGGGACTGCGACTGTCAGCTTGTGTGGTACATTTCTTACTGTGACTAGAACTCTATATCATAGAACCCTTGGTCTCCCAGAAAGCCCTGACCTGATGGTTCAAATAAATACTTGGCCACCTTCAGACCTACCGTTATTGTTCTGCTCTGCAACAATCTGTTCCTGTGGACACGCAACTAGGACCACCATTGAGACTCAGTATGGTCTGGAACAAAAAGGATTTTCTTCTTAAGGTACTGAGGGCAGAAAAAAAGTGCATGTCAGTAAGAAAGTCACATAAACTTACTTTACTATTTTCTATGAATGAAAAATGAACAGAAAACATTCCACTTTCTCATCTCTTTAAAAAGCAATTGCGAGATCCTTTCTCTCCTTTTCTTAACATTAACTACAGCACAGCTGACTGAAGATAAATGCCAATGGATGACTCCACCTTAATAAAAAAAGTTTCACAAAAGATTGGTGGGTAAGAAAATTGACACTCACTGGCTGTAGAGAATTTGAGGATTATCCAAAAATTTCATTTATTTGCTTTCTATCCTATCTTCTCCATGTCAAAAGACGATTAGGAGAGCATTCTGAGTTTCTCTTACATTTTGACATCACCCTAGTCTTCGCCTTTAGTAAGAAGATACAACTTCTAAGACCCAAGAGAATTCTTGAGAAGATGGAAGCCTTCACTTGATGGAACATTAGAGAGTCTCCATTCCTTGTTTGAATACTGGCAGGAGAACTGAGACAGTGAGACCAGAATAGGAGAAAAAACATTAGGGAAAAAAAGCAGCCCTTTCTTCTCAGAAAGCATCCCCCAATTAAGTAATTAGATGATCAAAGTTCTTCTTTGGTACTTCTTCACAAGATGTATAAAGGGCGCTATGAAGAAAAATTATACCTATATTTTTATATTTGTTTACTTGACCTAGGAAAAATTACAGCCGACCTTTCTTCACAAAATGTTTATCCAAATATCCAGTCGCAGAAAAGGAGAGGATGGCAGTTGCTGAGAAAATTAAGGTAACCCTTTTGCTGACTTTACATTTCTTTGAGGGTCTACAAGATTTCCAAGCGAGGCTGAGGAGAGCCTTATACGCCTCACTTTCCCTGAAGTGATGCAGTGGAACCCGCACCGAGATTCTGTCCGGGATGCCACGGTATTCACTAATGGCTGATTCATTGCTGCGCACCCCGGCTCAGGCAGCACGGGAACGCGTCCCATGCTTTTGCATCAGCAGAAGCTAATCTCTCTGGCACTGAGCTGCCGGTTCTCCGGAGGTTACATCAGCCCGCGAAGGAAACCTCAGCGGAGGCGACAGGTGGACGTTACTGGACAGCAGACAGGCACCCGTAAGCACTGTTCAAGCGAGCGGTATTCGAGCGGACTCTCGCCCAGGGTATCTGTGCAGGCCAGGTGCTATCTGTACAAAGAGCGGAAAAGTGGTCTCCGGAACCTGACGGCTGGCCTCGAAAATAATGGCCGCCTCGCCTCCAACGGCCCTGCAGCAGACAGCGGCTCTCAGGCGCTGCACAGTAGACGCCGAAGGGGAGCCGCTTTTTGGTTACCTGGAACATCTGGGCTTCATGAAAACTGCTCCTTCCTCGGGCTCAAATACAAGGCACCGACCAGCGGGCTGACACTTAAAGGGCGTAACTCTACACCCAGCGAATTTCAGAAAAGGGCCAAGAGGGCGGAGGTGCAGATGCCACACAAGCACAGGTCTGTCAATCGCTCTCACCCACCTGCGGCCGTTGCTACGCCGCAGTCAGAAGTCAGCGCTCCGACGGAAGCGGAAGTACAGCACTTCCTGGCCGGCTCCGCGCAGGTCCGCGGAGTCCGCAAGGACCACAGCTCAAGATCTCTGGGTGGAAGCTGTTTCCCTACGGGTTTAGCCCGGCAGCACCGTTAACACCATCGAGTCTAGACGCCCAATGGCCTAGAATGGCCTGCACGAGGGCTTGGCCCGTGGCTGTCGCCCTCTTGCGGTTTTGCTCTATGAGGCGTTAGAGCCGTTTATATGGAAAGCTCTGGAGGAATGAGCCAAGTGCCCTTATAGAGAATGGCCTGAGGGAGAACGGTGGTGGGCCAAGTCGTCTCAGAGAAGATATCTGAGCTGAGACGCGAGACAGAGGAGTTGGTTATGCCAGGGCACAGCACACTCAAGAGTCTCAGTTGTGAGATGACTTCGCATGTTTGAGAAAGAAGGAAAAGTTTGTGGCTAGAACATCAGAATCAAGGGAGAGAGTGGTGTGAGAGGTGTTGGTAGAGGAAGTCAGGAGCCAAATCATGCAGAGCCTTTCAGGCTGCGAAAAGAAGTCTGGATTATAGTCTACGTGCAGTGGGAAGCCACCGAAGAGGGTTAATAGGGACGGATATTATCTTACATTTAAAAAAATTCTACTGGATTCCGTGTAGAGAGAATGAATTAGAGCGTCCAGCAGCAGAGAGGATGCAGGGCAGCCAGTTAAGAGGTGATGACAGTTGCCCAGTTCAGACAGCATAGTGTCCTGGAACAGGCTGGAGAGTACAGAGATGGAATGAGGACCGATGCAAGAGACATTCTAAAAAGTGGAACTGACTGCACTTGGTGATGCACGGATTTGGCCAAAGGGCCAAGCCAAAGCCCAGAAGGAGGTGGGGTGCAAGGACACAGTGGAGGACTCAGACAACTACAAATCCAACAGTAAACAGCTAGTCCAGGAAACTTGGAGCCCTGGCACCTACAGCCTACTCCAGAGCCACTTGGATGGGGACCTCTCTGCATATGTCCTGGTCCTGATCACCTATAAGCAAACTACTCTCTCACACTGGGGCTTGTCTTCCTGCTATAAATTGAAGATGAATCCTGGTCCCTCACTTTTGGGGGTATGCTGGGATAAAAGCTATAGTGGGTACCCAATGTAAAGCCATTCATTTGGCCATGTGCAGGTTACATATAGGGAAAAGTAGCACCTGAACCCTTATATTGTCTGATAACCCAAGGGATTTTGTCTTGAGTTGTGAAATTGGAAAGCCAAAGTCAGGTACCTTTCTTTCACCAAAGTAGTGAATTGTTGGAGTAGGTATTATATCGAGATTTTGCCAATAGAACATAAAAAGAATGAAGGTGATATTGCTCAGGGGAATGAGTATTCTCTGTGGAAGGTGGGTGATATCCTAGCAGGTATCACTGTGCGAATTCACAGGTTGTCCTATTAGTCTGGGAATCAGGTTCCATTGCAGCTGCAGGGTAATGGAGCAGAATAAGAGTAATCAGGAGTTCAGGGCCAGAGGATGGGTTGCATCTTTCACGTGAGTTGTCAGGGTAGTCTTTGTTGAGAAAATGGCATTTGAACAAAGACTTGAAGGAGAAGGAATGAGCCTTGTGGCTCTCTGGGAAAAGAGTATTAAGAGACAGGGCAGAGGCTCTGAGGCTGGAGCAAGGCTGGGCAATAAGGCCAGTGTGATCTACTGCAGATTGAGAGAAGATGAGTAATAAACAAGATTCACGAGCCAGATCGCATAGGGCAGTAGTAGTAGTAGTGACTACTGCTACTACTGCAATTGAGAGTGTTTAAAAATGTTTACAGTACTTTAATATTGCTGCACTATCCTACCACATTTTTACAGTACTTTAAACAAAAAATCCCTGCTTTTTCACAGAAATTTGAGAATCACTAAGATAGGCTTTGAGGCCTTAAAGGACACTGACTTTTAGGGTTAAAAAGGGTAGCTTTGCAGGGTACTGAGCAGATGAGAAATAGCGTAAAAATGATCACTTTGAACATTTAGATTTACTTGGCACTTAAACATTTGTTTATATCCCCTTTTGCTACAGGAACTTGTAGAGGACTGGCCTCCTTGAAGGCAGGATCCATGTCATGTTGTTATTTCCGTTTCTCTTAAAATAGTACAGTAGGCATTCAATACATGTTAGTTAAATTGAATGAAAAAGGAAGAGGGTCACTTTGACTGCTGGGCTGAGATCAGACTGTAGGAGATCAAGAGTGGAATCAAGAAGACCAGGGAGGCGGCTCCGGTGTAACTTTGGCATCAGATAATGGTGGCTCGGAGAGACTGGAGTAGAGGAGGCGATCATAGAGGCTGTGTGCCCTTCAGAGCATCATGACCAGATATAATCAGAATGCACTTGCTGAGACAGTTCTGAGAAAATAAGTCCCCACCAACTGGCCCAGATGCCACCCCTTTGAGGAGATGCTAGGCCTCAGTTGGGTGTAGGGTTCTCGAATCGCCATCTAGCTTGAACTGCTATTCTCAGGCGTTAACAGCTTATTCTCCCTTTGGAATAGTAACTGCCGTAATGTAGTTTCTTGCTTCTGCAAGGATGAGAAGAGATATAACAGATGGAAATGGGCACACTGAGGGGGTACTCAGGCATCAGAGGTGGGAGTAGGCAGAAGTCTTCTCTAACCAGCTCTTCTCTCCTTTGAATCTTTGCTTTTATCTGTTCATCATTTCCTCTTATGGGACTACATGACCTCAGGGATTCCCCCATTATGGAGACAGGTGAGCACTGTCTTTACCATGACTCATCTCTCAGGGGAAATGCGTGGGATTTGGGATAATCAAAGAGAAATAGAAGTGGCAGCTTTCGTAAGTTGTCTACACTCCTTCTCAGCTGGAGGAGATGTCTTACCTACTACACTGAATGTTTTTGTTTTAGGAAAAAAGCCCACAGGGAGATATCTTCTAGGAATGATGGTAGCTTTGTGGCATAGTTTGAGAAACTAGGATATAACATTTTGGGCTACTAAAACCCCCCTGCACTGCTGTATCTGGTCTTTACTGATCTAGCACTGTGGTTTTTTTCCTCCCTGCAGAACATGTGCAGTGGGGCTATAACGAGAACAAGACACTGGAGGCCATTCTCAATACTTTTCAGTTTTTTGAAAAACTCCAAACCTATCAGCAGAGCAGTCAGATCTACAAGGCTGGAGCAAAACAACTCCAGGAGTGGATCTTTCTGGGGATCCCAGAGCACCAAGTTCAGAAGCATATAATCTGCTTTCCTTGGCCATGAAGGAATGATAGGGAGTCTGGAGAGATGAGTTATCATAATGGGAGTCTATAAAAGTTGTAGAAGGTGCATTGGAGATGGCACAGCCAGGAATGAAAAGGACTTCAGGATTCCTGGCCATGAAGTTAGGACATTTGACTCTACTAGTCCTGTTCGCAAACAAACTCGATAAGATCCTTGGCTCTGATGGTCAAAGGATGGGGATATCCATATACAGACCATTGCCCAAGCAATCAAGAGGGAGTTGTTTCTGCTCCTGGCCATGTCATCATCTTGAAGACGGACCTTACATAGGCCACAGAGTTTCACTTTTTATGGTGTTTAAGGATTATTTCTCTTGCAATCAGGTGTCCTGATTTTGCATTTACCAGCTTCTTTCAAAGAATTCATATCATTTTTTCCCCCATGGAATTTCACTTAATGAGCTTTTTAGATTGCCAATTAGGCTTTGAGCCCAGACTTTCTCCCCTTCCCTCCTTCTCCACCAATGATCCTCTCTTCATAACCTCTGCCTGTGCTTCCCAAATACTCAGAAACTTGCTCTCCTTGTTTGAGCTGGCTAGTCTCAGGATGGTCTTTTATTATGCTGCTACTAGATTATAGACCATTCAAGAATTGAGAATACACATACAGACAGACTGACAAATGACATAAAGCTTAATTCCTTCCCTCAGTTTTATCATTGTGTCAGAATATCCAAAAAGAGACAGAACAGAAGAAAAGTAGGTGTAGTTAAGGTGTATTAACATGTGATCACAGAAATTGGAGGTTAAAATGTTAATTGGAAAATAAAACTTAGCAGAAGACTGAATCACATGAAGAATTCCAGTTAGGTATTTCTTCTCTGTTGTGTAACTCTTTTCTCATTCCATTATTTTCCTTCTCCACAATCCAGTGTGATTTTATTCTTTCAGGTTTCAAGATCAAGAATGGGATTAAATAAAAAATCCAAAATGGGATGATTCAGAAGTAGACATGAACATGGCTATATGGAGAAAGTCTAGTGGAGAGTGTTCTGGCACTCTGAGCTGAAAACAGGCTGGGAGGATGAGAGAGTGTTAAGAAGGCAACACAGACATTCTCCAGAGAACAGGGAGGAGAGAACCCCATCTCAGGAGATGAGTCACCAGAGACTTTGGACCAGCAAGAAGACCTGGACTCACCCCCTCTATGAGAGAAAGTGTTCTCAGAATTCTCCCTCCTCACCACCAGCCATCCCTAGAACTGGAAAAAGCTTCTAAATATTTACATCATGAATGTAGGAAAAGCTTTATCTGAAGTTCTTAGCTTGTTTGGTATCAGAATCCACACAGGAGGGAAGCCTTACAAGCGCAGTGAATGTGAGAAAGGCTTCAGTGAGCATTCCAACTTCACTGCCCACCTAAGAACTCACATGGCAGAGAGACCCTCCCCATATGGGGAATGTGGGAGAAGCTTCAACCGAAGCTCTAGCCTCATTGTTCACTAGAGGCCTCACACTGGGAAGAAGCCTTATCAATGCACTGTCTGTGGGATTCAACACCAGTTCAACACCAGTTCCCAGTTTAGCACTCACCAGTGAGTCCATACCAGGGAGAGCCTATACAAGTGTGCACAGTGTAGGAAAAGCTTCAACAACAGTTTCTACTTCCGTGCCCACCAGAAAAGTCATGTTGGGGAAAAGCCTTACAAGTGCTCAGTGTGAGAAAAGATTAAGAATGCTGCCTCATCTGCCCTCAGGGGGTACACATAAAAGAGATACATCACAGGAAGGAAGAGATGTGCTGAGTGTGTAAGAAACCTGACGCATCAATTCCTTAGATCAACATGTGTTTCTCAGAGCTTCCTTCTGCTGTGGAGAGTTTTACTAGCCACACCCTGGATTAGCAGTAAACTTATT